TTCTTTGGTGTCTGCTACCTGATCCCTTCAACACCTCGTGTTCACACAGGCCTGTGTGCTTCTCCTCTGTGGGCTTTGTTGCTTCCGAGCTAGATGGCCGCTTGTTTGCTGATTTCTCTTATTCTTAAAGGCAATTTTTTTTCAAGTTATATTTTTATATTCCTCACTTTATTCTGAAAACATCTTTACTTATATATTCAAGTGATTCTGAGATTACAGTGATCTCAGAGCACAGATATTATCCATATTTGCCTATAAAATTAATAAACACTTATGAAAGAACTTATTTACATAACAATATTTAAGGACTTTCATTTAATTGGACTCTCCCAGATTTTTAAAGTATTTCACCCCATTCTAAGCCAATTTATCTCTTTGATATTTGGGATAATCCAATGTGCATATACAAAAAGATATATTTGTCAAATGGCCATAAGATTAAACAGCCTTTGGTGTCCTTTGGTACAATGAATTTGCAGAGAGAAAGTGATTCAAATAGGAGCAACTAAGCTGGCTTCCTAAGGAAATAAACAAGATAAAAATTAAGTATGAAAGGTGTGAAAGATGATTCCCATAAATCTTTACCTATTCTTTTAACATAAAAATCTACACCAAGTATGTGTAAATTAGAATACATCTCATTTAGGGTGTCCATGGTTGGGGAATGTTATTCAGTGAAAGGCCCTGGGATAAAAAGATGAGAGGTGGTTTATAAGGAAGTAGAGGATGCTTGTCCTTCATTAACATATCCATGTTAACTTATTGGAGAGGTAGAACAGGCTATTGAAAAGTCTTAGTTGGCCTGGTTATTGGCCTGGACCTTAAAGTGATATTTTATTATTTATGATCATCATAATTAAGCATTTCCAAGTGAAGGCAGTCCTTAGATTTGTACTTGCAAACACCAGGAAATGACCTTGCTACAAAACACGCACAACATTTTCTTTTATTTTGTTTTCTACTTTGCTTGTAACAAGGGTAAGTGGGAAGTTTAACTAATTGCAAAAATGTAATGTGCCACGTAAGTAAAACGTTATTTATTCTTCTGCGAGTCACAGCTGATTTCCACCTCCAGTGAGTTTTCAGGTAAGAAGCAGTAGGTCACAGGTGCAGTCGCTGCCGCTCTGAGCTGTGGAACTAGCCTGCCTGCACTTTCCCATAGGCGCCGACCCGTACTGCAGAGCATTGCGGGGAAGGTGCTCGTCGCAGTAGGCCTTTAGCAGCAGTGCATGCTGCAGCTGGAGCTTGCCTGCTCCAAAATGCCTCGCAGCACCGAAGACACTGCTGGTCCAGTCTCAAAGTCAGAGTCATTCCCATGATAGGGATCTTCATGGATCAGTTATTCGGGGCGATCATAGCTTCCACGTAGTTCAATCGTAGCTTTGCCGTTTTAACTTGATTACCTTTTCTAGCCACATCTCACAGATTGCTGTCGTCCATACATGGTATATAATCCAACGTGGCAAAATCTTCTTTGGCTATCTCTGGGGCACTGACTCATGGGAGACCATGCTGCTTCATGCAATTTTGCCTTTGATAACCAGGAGGGTTTCCTATTTCCTACATGGAATGTTGCTGCGCTGCCTATTCTCCACTTATCTAAAAGGTTTTGATCAGTTACAAATTTTCTGAAAATTGCCTTTGCAATAGGTGATTGACAAATGTTACCCAGGCATACAGACAAAACAGATTTGGGGCCCTGCACTGCCATCTTCCCTTGTGCAGAGATGTACAATATGCGTCAGAACCACCAGCCAGAACACTCAAGGCAATATTTTCTTGAATACTGATTAATGCAATCCGATTGATTCACCAATCATTTCTCCACTGAAGTCATATGTGTTTGAGGCCCAGGATGTATGTTGGGCATCACTCATGCTCCCCAAAGATCCAAGTCAGCAGTCAAGCCTGAGGAACTTGATATGGAGAACTGTTTTCTCTATGAAGAATTAGATGAACTTCCGATGCAGATTCTTCAGGGCCCCCAGCTCACCTCTCACTGTGAAAAGTGGTGGTGTTTTGCTGCATTGATTTCTTGCTCATCCTAGGAGCCCGTTACATTGGAGGATGTCACTGTGGTTTTCACGGAGGCAGAATGGAAGATACTGAGCTCTGAGCAGAAGAACCTGTATAGAGAGGTGATGCTGGAGGTGTGCAGGAATCTCTTCTCATTGGGTGAGAATGTGCTTTTTCTGCTCATTAACGCAGTAGATATTTAATGGCTACCTGCTCTGTGCCAAGTGAGCGACAGTGGTACAGTGGTTAAGCACTCCTATGCTTACCATATGGTTGGTGGTTTGGACCCACCAGCCACTCTGTAAGAGAAAGATGCGTCAGTCTTCCGTTAAGATTTATACACTCAACTTGACAGTAACAGACACTTTTGGTTTTTCTATGTGCCGTAGAGTTGGTGCTCAAGTATTCTTGCCAAACTTGATCATTCGAACCCATTCAGGGGTGCTGCCAAAGAAATGCCTGGCAGTGTGCATAGGCAAAGGTTACAGCCAACAAGCCTGTAGACGAAATAAAATACTTGAAATGAAAACATAACTTCTATGGAGTTTTGTGAACACAGGAGGTAGGCTTGAGTTGTAGTTGGCTCGAAGGCTTTAACAGTAATGTCAGTAAGCATTGTACTGCTAACAGCAAGCCTGGCAGTGCAGACTTACCCGTCACTCCTCAGGAGGAATAACAGGCTGTTGACTCCCATTAAGGTTTACAGCCCGGGAAGCCCTCCAAAGTGTTGCTGTGAGTGCGAGTGGCTGAGTGGCAGTGGTTCTGTGACAAATAACTCAGATTTTTAGCAATCCCTGGCTTTACTGGATTTACCCTTGAGTATAAAGAAACAACAGTTTGCAACCTTTTATAAATAATCAATAAACTATAAAATGCTCAAAGAGAATGTGTGCTATGAAGTGAAAATCTAGTAATAGAGCAATAGAAAGAGCTCTTGGTATGACATGTTAGCTAGCTGGAGTATGAAATCACTTGGGTATTTGAACATTAGCAAGGTTCTAATATTTGACTGCAGATGTACGGTGGTGAGGGAGTCGGGGCTCTGGGTAGTAGGGTCAAAGCATTGCAGACGGAGAGAGTGGTCAGTGGTCTTCAGCTATGTGCTCACTGAGCGTGCCGCCCAAGTGTAAGGAAGCCAGGGCAGTAGGGACACACTGTGCAAAGGGGCGTGTTGTGAGAGATGCCTTGTATACCAGCAGTTAAAATGAAACACCACGTTTTTTATGCCTTTCAGCTTTCATAAACTACAGCGTTTTTAATGACCTAAACATATTTCTGGTGATTTCTCTATCTGGATTGATAATCCTTGTGAAATGCAATGCTATTGTTCTCGAAGGATTTACACAAACTTTTGAGCCAAAAGAGCCAATCATGTCCCTCAGCAGTAATTTAAAAATTATTCAAGAGCCATATTTTACATTATTTCAAACAGATGAAATCACCATTATCTAAATAATATCCTGTAAAAGAATTTTAGTTTTAGTTCAGAGCCATATGTACTTACTGAAAGAGCCAAACCTTGAAGCCCTGTGTTCCAGACCAAAGGTGGGCCCACATTTTGTCTGCATGGCCAGTCATCAACACCTCCACTAGTGGATTTGGCTGAGTCCCCCTCTTCATGGACACTGACATTTTATTTTTGTGATTGTCACAGAAGACAAAACATGTTGTTTGACCTTTTTTATGACCATGAAAAATGCTTAAAATATTCTTAGATTGCATGCTGACCAAATCACCCAGGGGTTATGTTTGGCTTCAGACCATTCTTTTCCATGTCTTCGTTCAGCTTAGTCGTGCTCATTAGAAAATGATTATGAACTAAGATCTTTTAAAATTACCTCTAAGTTCTGAGTGGTGACATGTCAAGTGTACAGTGTACGTATGCTGGGTGGCTATGTGTTGGTTCCTGTATTTCTCCATAGTCCTACAGCTGTAAAGAAACCACAGAGAAAAAGATCACATTTTTGTTGACACCAACTAGTTCCAGGTAGGCGCTTGTAAAAAGGGTAACTGCTTCCAAGATAACAACTTACTTTGTTACATTTTTATATTCTCTGACTTTTTTTTTTCAAATGACCCTTTATGATTTAGTTCCATCATACTATACAGGTAATCTGAGGTGTATGATGTATCCAAGTTATATTGGATGTCACTTATTACTGCCTGTCATTTAGAGGGATTTGTTTTAGTACATCTTCCATTAGTAACAAGATTTGCATACAATGTTACACTGTAAAAGTTATTTTTTATATATATTGAAAGGTAGTTTATTTCCTACAGATAATACTTAAATAAGAACCAAAAGGAGGTACACAAAGTAGATGAGTTTAAAATATGAATGAAAAACCATTCAATAATGCCTGACCCCAAACAATAAAACTGTTATTTAAGAGTATTTCCCCTCTTTCTGCGCTACCCAGAGCATCCCGTGTAACAACAAGGGAGCTCACTCAGTGGGCCTGATGTGGTGGATGCTGCAGCGCCCGGGAAGTTCTGTCATGCGGGGCACCATCTCCCGGGAACACCCGTGGGAGGTCATGCCTGGTCTCGACTTCTACAGAGACCCAGAGGAGATTGAAAAGGAAGAGCAGGCCGCTGCTGAAAAGGCCGTGGCCAAGGCAGAGTTTCAGGGCGAATGGACTGCTCCTGCTCCCGAGTTCACTGCCGCTCAGCCTGCGGTGGCCGACTGGTCCGAGGGCGTGCAGGTGCCCCCCGTGCCAATCCAGCAGTTCCCCGCTGACTGGTCCGCAGCCCCCATCGCTCAGGCCACTGAGTGGGTAGGAACAACCGCTGAGTGGTCCTAAACTGTTCTTCCATGGAAATTAGGCTGATGGGAAATAAAGACAGATTTCTACAAACAAAGAGTATTTCCCTATTGTTTCTTGTTGTTTTTAAAAAATTATGCTCTTTTAAAAAAATCATTTTATTAGGGGCTCATACAACTCTTAACACAATCCATACATACATATACATCAATTGTGTAAAGCACATTTGTACACTCATTGCCTTCATCATTCTCAAAACATTTGTTGTCCACTTAAGCCCCTGGCATCAGCTCCTCATTTTCCCCCCTCCCTCCCCGCTCCCCCTCTCCCTCAACCCTCGATAATTTATAAATTATTATTTTGTCATCTCTTACACTGTCTGACGTCTCCCTTGTAGAAGTTTTTAACATCGTCATGCTGAAAGTAATTAAATATCTGCTTTATAAATCTAACTAGGCTAAAAGGTAATGTTAATGAAAACTAAATGAAAAGGAGGCATTGAACTTACACACAGCCAGCGTTGGCTGTAACTGTTAAAATGTATCCTCGTCATAAGTTAGGGATTACGTCTATTAATTTCGTCATTTCAGTGGCGTGCCCTCTGTTTTGCTTTGGCCTCTGGTCGTAGGTGTGGTTGTCTATGAAAACAACAGTCAATAAATCAAACAACGTACTGCACTGAACCAATGTGCTGCAAAAGACCTCTTTAAGTGCCAAGAGGCAAAGATGGCACCTTGAGTCATAGGTTTTTTTAGGTAAAAGCCGAAGAATTGAAGTCTTTGAATTTGGTATTTGCCAGAATTATTGAATATGTGAAGGATGGTCAGAAGATTGAACAAGTCTGTCTAGGACAGTGTCTATCCAGGCTGCTCCTCTGGAGTGTGGATGGAGAGCTTCTCGCCACATACTTTGGACATGTTCCCAGGAGGAGCAGGTGCCTCGAGAAGACAGTACACCTGGTCAAGTAGGGGGTCAGGGGACAAGAAGGGCCTCAATGAGATGGGTTGACACTTTGGCTGCCACAGTTGGCTTAAGCTTAGCAATATTTGTGAGCATAGGGTAGGAGCCGGCACTGATTGGTTCTGGGTGGTATAAATTGGAACCAACTTTATAGTAATTGGCTGCCACAACAGCAACAGTCAATCTTACTGAGTTTTTCCCCTGCCATAAGATATTTCTATGCATCAATGCATATATCTGGTTCAGTGGAACATGTTTGTAATAATAATGAAGTTTTAGTGATCGAACATATCACTGTTAGTGTGTGAAGCTTACAGGAGTTTCACATTTATCTAAATATGGTAGATAAATGAATGAAAATGGTAGAACGTTCGCATAGGGCGTCCTAGGCTGAAAATCCTTGTAGAAGCAGACTGCCACTGTACCATTGTACTATTGTACCATTGAGCTATTGCTAGGTTTGCACTACCAACTTTTTGTATTACAGTCCAGGCCTTTAACACTCCCTCATACCTGCTCTCATAGAAAATGCTCTTCTGCAGAACCAACGTCAGAAGTTCACCCTACTTCCTCCTGCCTCCTGGCTTTCTCCTGTCAGCAATTCCTTAGGCAGCATGTGCTTCAGTTCTTCCCAGCCTCGTGTGCAGAGAATCTCTTCCATCCAGGAGAGTCCAACCCAGGGCAGCCAGAGCATCAGGATTCTGATCAGACTTGCAGGAATGAAAACACAGAAGGGCGGGAGAGAGAAGTCTCCAAACCCTTGTGTGGGAGCACAGGGGAGAGAGAGACCTCAAGGGCTTTATCCAGTCCAGCTTGGGGAGGGTTAGCAAGCCCCAGAGAAGGCAACACAAGGGTGGGAATGGAGGCCCACTCTACCCAGAGGGGAAAAATTTTTGTGAAAACAGACAAGGGTCTGAAGAGATTAGAAACTTCAAGATTTGGAGCTCTCAGCTATAACAAGGATGAGGCCAACTATGTCCTGGAATCAAATTTCATCACAAATCAGAGTACTCTCTTCCAAGAGAAGCCACACATATTCACAGAGAGTGGAAGAATCTCTGTTGACATGTGAACTCTCTTTACACACCCGAGGACACTTTCAGGGGAGAAGCCATATGTGTGTGAGCAGTGTGCATGAGGATTTAACCGAAAGTCACATCTCATCAGACATCAGTGGACGCATTCAGGAGACAGGCCCTCAGTAGACAAACCGCATATATGTAATGTATGTGGGCGAAGCTTTCAGTACAAATCATATCTCACCACACACCTGAGAACACGTTCGGGGGAGAAGCCACATGTGTGTGAGCAGTGTGCACAAGCATTTAACCGAAAGTCACATCTCATCAGACATCAGTGGACACACTCCAGAGAGAAGCTTGGCTGTAAGGACAGGTGCGTTAAATGTCAGGTGACTCATTCCAGAGGAGCTCTGTGTTTGCTGTGAGTGTGGGTGAGGCTTTGACTGTAATTCACTCCTCATACGCCGTAAGATACAGAATGAAATGTTTCTGTGTAGGGAGAATAAGGAAGACTTTTTGACAAAAGTACACTTCACTATGTACTAGAGAAGACATTTCTGTGGTCAGAAAAAGGCAGGAAGAAGGTGTGAGGTACAGTAACAAGTTAGATCTCCTCTTGTACCAGAAGCTACAGGGAAGGGGGCCATGAGGGTAGTGTGGAAGGAGGGAACTCAATTCCAGGGTCCTTTCTTAGCTTTGCCCATGTCTGAGGAAGTTTGAGAAGAAGTCTCTTGCTTTTTATGAGGGGAAGGTGTCAATAATGAACCAGAGTGTTCTTTGCACATTCTTTAAACAAATGGAATATAAAAGTAAAAGTGCAAGTCAAAGAATGCATAACTTGTTCTATTTGCATAGACCAGTTCACACAAGTGCTTTGATCGTATTTTTTTGTTGCTTAACATTTTCTTAATAAACCGTCAGTCTTGTGTTACTCATTTGTCTTGTAGGGTAAGTGGATTTCAAATTTACAACCACAGTTTCTTGAGTATAGTCAACCCTTTAGGGCAGTGGTTCTCAACCTGTGGGTCCCGCCCCCTTTGGGGGTCGAAGGACCCTTTCACACAGGGGTTGCCCGATTCATAGCAGTAGCAAAATTGCAGTTATGAAGTAGCAACGAAAATAACTTTATGGTTGGGGGGGGGGGTCACCACTGCATGAGGAACTGTACTAAAGGATTGAGGCTTTTGGAAGATTGACAACACTGCTTTAGGGGAGGAAAAATGTTCCAAATACATTTATTGGCAAGTCTAGTTATTTGGGAAAAGAGTTGTCCAGGCTTTGGAGAGAGGGGCCAAGAGAGGGCCCTCATCTCTCAGGCTGGATCAGTTCTTCACATCACTTCTTTCTGTAACTGCCTAGATGGCTTTAGTGCAACCTCCTTCCTGTTGACTCCCTTTTATACTGTAAGTCTCTATGGTCTCTGGCATCTCTCCACCCTCGGACGAAGTTCCATTCCTCAGTATTGTCTTTAATACCACTCTTTCTTGAAAATGGCTCTCCAGATTCTAGGGTCAGGGCCGTAACTGCCCAGACTTAACTCCAGTCTGTTGCAGTGGGCCTCATGGCTACTCACCATGTGAAATCGCCAGTGTTAAACCTAAAGTCCCCATAGCGTATTTCTGGTACTAAGCGTAAGGCCTTTAGCCATGCCCCCTTTAGCTCTCTGACTCAGTCCTGCCAGTGATAATCCCTGGTCAGTCTGAATTTGCTTTGCCATAAAGACCCTTATAACCCGGTGGAGTGACAAGAAGGGAGAGTTTGCAGAACCGAGCACTGAGGGTGTCCCGAGGACAGTTCTGCACACACCATGTACCAGCATGGGGCCTGGCTGAGGCTCTTCCCCTCAGACTAACATATAGTCTATTTTCTAACGCCCAGAATCCAGCATTCTCCAAGGCTTTGCTTCCTGCCCTGTGAGGATGGGGATGAAGTGCTTGGTGAGAGGCAATGGGATCATACATGTTTCATGACATCAAGTACAGGGTGCCCAGCCTGTCGTGTGTGGCTTCTGTCGGAACTTTGTCGCAGATGAGGCTCTTTTGCTTGGTGTTTCCTTCTGAATCCAGTTTCTGGCTCATGGACACACACCCCCACACACACCCACACACCACACACCCCGCCCCCCACACCCCAACTTAGATAAAGCCCTTACTGCCTCACAGAGGAGCCGTGGCACGTTCCCAGTGGTAGGTAACTGAGACCTTAATTTTCGGAGGCTGAGTGTGCGTCCTGCCTGAGAAGACCCTCCTGTTCCAGCTGCTCAGGGCCCCGCTTGTGTTGCTGCGCTGGTGCTCCCTCTCGTAGCACTCACTGGCCCCGTGTCTCCCAACTGGTGCTCCCTCTCGTAGCACTGCCCCCGTGTCTCCCAACTGGTGCTCCCTCTCGTAGCACTCACTGCCCCTGTGTCTCCCAACGGGTGCTCCCTCTCGTAGCACTCACTGCCCCTGTGTCTCCCAACGGGTGCTCCCTCTCGTAGCACTCACTGCCCCCGTGTCTCCCAACTGGTGCATTAATAAACGCCTCCGGAGAGGCGGCAGGACGCTCGTAGTCGGCGCGTCGGCGGCCGTCCCGTGCGGGCCGGCGAGGCTGCGGCGTGGAGACGCCTGGGCTGTCGCGCTGGACGCTTGGTGGCGAGAGTGACGAGCGAGCGCAGGAGGCGCAGGGCGCGTGGGCCCGGCGTCGGGTGGCGGGGCGCCCCTGCTTCCGCGCGGGGAGAAGGGGCCGCGGCTCCAGACTGGAGGAGAGTGGCTGGGAGGCGG